ACAGCCCATGGAGTTGAAAAGCCTTAAACTCAAAAGTTTATTACTCTGTTCTTTATTTCAGTGTAACTTTGGCTCTGGTTTATTTCCCTTTGAAATGTTTACCATCTTTTCAAGCAGTGACAGAGCAACAAGTAAAATGTATGTTGCTCTGAGAGATGGGAATTTAAATCTTCCATGGAGCTGTAGAATAGAGTTGAATCTGTAATACAGGTCTTGTTGGAGTACCAGAAAAGCAAGAAACCCAGGGAGGCAGTTTTTCTGTGTTCAGTGAAATTCTCTGTATCTTTTTAATAAGGTTTTGTTATTAACGTTTTTCTTTTTGTAGATACGTTCTTAGAATGTCCTATTCATCCTGTTTGTAGTTTTAGTTTGTTTGAGTTACAAAAATTGCCAATGTCGTCCCAGCCTCAGGTTCCAGCTGGACCTGTGCCTATGATTCCAGAGGATCAGGTGGAGTGCAGTAAACGGACAGAGGCCTTACTGAACACATGGATGAGGATAAGTGAGGTAGTATTAGTTCTAATTAGTTACTTTCGGATAAAGTCATTTAGCCTGGGCTCTGTTTCTGGTAAACATTTCCTTTCTGTCTGTAGCTGAGAGCGGATGATGCCGACAGACGCACACCTGACATAGAGAGGTAACGAACAGCGGCTGAAAGTGGGCGTTGTCCACTTCCCCTTCCTTCTCTAATTAGCGTTTTTGTGATCTTTAGTGACTGTGGTGTTCCAGGTACCAGGAGAGCCTGAGCAGCATGGTGCTGAGCGAGGAGAACGTCAGGAAGGTGGTGAAATCCCGAGTGTGTTCCATGGCCATCCACCCTTCCGAAAGCACCATCCTCGTGGCAGCTGGAGACAAGTGGGGGCACGTGGGCCTCTGGAATGTGGTGAGTGGTTGGTGTGCTCCTCACCTGCACAGGTGTGTGAAACAGGATGGGTGCAGGTGGGGCACAGCCTGGTGTGGCGCATCCTGCACCCTCTGCCTCCTCCCAAAAACAGCCAAAAACCAGAGACTTAACTTCAAAAGCTGCAGTAACTAATAGAAATAATGACACTGATCACCTGGAATCTCTGTTATTTTGCAGAGCTGCGGGTCTGAGGAAGGAGCCCACATCTTCATCCCCCACAGTCTCCAGGTCAGCTGCATGCACTTCTCTCCCTGCAACCCTGCTCACTTGCTGTCCCTCAGCACTGACAGTCTGCGCTGTGGCGATGTCACCAGGGCTGTCTTTGATGAGGTGAGTCAGTGCTGCCTCCTCAGAGACCTCTCCAGGGCACTGCTGGGAAGGTTTAGTCTGCTTGTAACAAGTTATTTGGTCTTTTTATTAGCAAGAAGTTCAAGGTTTTGTTTCCACAAGGACACGTGAATTAACCTTTAATTAACATCACAAAATAGGGAGATGACTCCTACTCACCAAAATCCAGTAAGGGCCCAGGTTCTCCCAACTTCCTTCCTGCAGAGAGCTGCAATTCTTGAGTTTAATTTCCTCTTCCCATATTTAGCAATGTGTGCCTTTTCTCAAGGCATTGCCTTTAATCAGTGACAGTGATTGGGAGAACTGAGTCCTGCAAACAAACGACCCAAAAGAGCTTTGTAAAACAACATAAACCACGAGCTGCCTTTGCTTTTCTCAGCCTTCAGGACACAGAATGCTGTGTCTGTCTCCACAGCTTCCCTGGAGCAGGGTGTGCTGGGTTCTGACAGCCACAGCTGCATTGATCAGCTCCAGTGCTGGGAAGGGAACAACCTACTACAGCTTAAAGCTTTTTTTTGCCCCAGCCCTTCCAGGCACCATGATTTTAGCAGGGCTGCAGGCAGGCAGGTCCAGGGGGTTGTTATTTGAGGAAAATGCTTGCAAGATGATGTCTTGAGAGGTCAGGGAAGAAAAACCTGCTCAGTTTACCTTAGGCCAAGTTACCTGGCCTTGTGATACCTGTAGGAATATCAGTGCTGGTGGAACAAGCACAACTGCACACCCAGAGAGCTGAGCCACAGGGTGTTCCTGAAGCACCATTGTGCTTGTGCTAATTGCTGCTGTGAGAGCAGGGGCATATCCCCAGGGGATAGCATGAGGCGACATCCCGAGGCTGATCTCCCTAATTATAGGGAGCCAAGTTCACATTTCTGCACCTGATTAAAGGTTTCTGCAGCACTGGAGGAGGGAAAGGTATCCTTAATCCTCGCTCAGTATGTGCTCAAGGCCAACAGCCCTTTGATTGCTGGAACACAGAGGTGACAGTGCCTCGTAGCAGCTCTAACAGCAAATTTGGAGTGTGCTGCTGCCGGCCTGGTTTGGATGGTTAATTAGCTCCTAATTATTTCCCCTTGGAAAGCATACCTGTTTCATGGAAGGGTTTCCTGTGTGGCTGGGTGAGGCTGGAGCTGTCACATTGGACAGACTTCAGTAGCACTTTTAGTGAATTTACGAGGGCAAGGATGAAACCCAAAGCCCAGGGAGAGTTTGGTTGTTGGGAACAACTCACTGTGTTTTGTTTATAGTTCTGGTACCATTTGACCTTCCCTGTGCTCAGATCTGCAGGAGTGAGGAAAACTTCTCGTCCTTCGACTTCCTGGAAGACAGTGCCTCCACTGCCCTGGTGGGACACTGGGATGGGGGCGTGGAGGTGGTGGACAGACGGACTCCGGGAACATCCTCGGAGCTCTCTGCAGACATTGGCTTCAAGAGGACACGGACAGTCCACGTGCACCCCGTGAACAAACAGTATTTCCTGGCTGCTGGCTTGGTGTACGTAGCTCAAGTTGAACTGGTTATTCTGTTTCCAGCGGTCTGTCTGCCTGTGCTTCGGGGTGGGCTCTGAAGGGTGCAGGAGGGCAGGAGAGCTGGGCATGAGCAGTTTGTCAGCCTCAATGCATCCTCAAAGCTGTCTTGGTCTTTTCAGAAAACAAGTTTTCAGTCCTTAGCAGGATTTAAAGTGGGATTTGCTTTGGCTTCCCTTCACCTTTTGGAAATGGGGGCAGATGGGCCTTGGTGGGCTTTGGCAGACAGAGGGACTTTAACGAGGGGCTGATTGGGGTGGTTCTGGTACTCCCCAAAACCCTTGGAGCCACTGTTGGAGTGAGTATGGAAACGCTGACCCAGCTCCTAGACAGCCTGCTGTGGCTCTGGAGCTGTTTTGGTAAATGAAGCATATGAAGTGTTCCCTTGTGAGTGTGTGGCACCTGTTGCAGGGACGTTTGTATTTTCGACATGCGGTACCTGAAGCCCAAGGGGAACCAGCCCGTGAGCTCCCTCACAGGACACACCAAAAGTGTGGCCTCAGCCTATTTCTCACCTGTCACTGGGAGCAGGGTGGTGACGGTTTGTGCTGATGACAAGCTGAGGTAAGGCACTGGAGGGAAGAATCTTTGTGCAAAATACCAACTTCATCATCATCATTATTACCTCTCTGCATTACCTGTCACTGAGAACTTTCTGTCAAAGGTTTATTTGCATGAATGTTTTTAATGTAGTTTTTTATGATTTTTTTTGTTTGGTCGGGTTTTTTCCTAATTCTCATTTTTCTGAAGGATGTTTAACAGGGAGCAGTGAAATACACAGGTACTGTTAATCTTTAAAAAACAAGCAAAAAACCAAACTAAAAACATGAAACCAACCAAGCAAAAGCCAGCCAAAACCTGCTTATGAACATGAACACAAAGTGCTCAGAAATTTGTTTATTTTTAGCTGCTGGCACTTGGAATTATGATAATATCAGCTCTTTTGTAAGTAGCCTACCATTTAATAATTTGAGCTGCTGTGAGTTGCTTGTATTGGAGTTTTTTGTTTCTCATTTGCTGTTTGTGACTATAATTTAGATAATTGCCTGATTTAGTTTGACCTTGGCAGTGTTTTTGCCCAGGGCGGGGTGGAATCCTCATGTCCACGGGGGTGGAAGAGTGGGTGGGAATCTGGGTTTGGCCTATCCAGCCTCTCCTCCAGCAGCTCTCAGAAAGGGTGGGGCTGCAGTTCCAGCTGAAAGCAAATCCAATTCCCAAAGCACATTCAGTAATTCCAGTTGGGATGCTGGTGCCTGTGTCCCAGCTGGGTGTCTGTGCTGCTCCCGGGTGGTCTGGCTGGAGCTGATCCTGCATGTCTTTGTAGCTCCTGTACGTTCTGTTAAGGTGCTGTTGTGTTCCAGGGTCTACGACACCACGTCCTTGTCATCGACCATCACAGCCCTGAGCTCCACCAGGTGAGGAGAGCACACCTGGGCCGAGGTGCGGCCACTCCCTGCGGGCCTGGAGGGACAGGACAAAGGGAATGGCTTCCCACTGCCAGAGGGCAAGGTTAGATGGGATTCCCGTGAGGGTGGGCAGGCCCTGGCACAGGTTGCCCAGAGAAGCTGTGGCTGCTCCATCCCTGGAAGTGTTCCAGGCCAGGCTGGACGGGGACTGGGGCAATGTGGGATAGTGGAAGGTGTCCCTGCCCATGGCTTCATGGTTGCTTTCAACCCAACCCTTTCTGGGATTCTTTTCCCATCCTGCCCATCCCAGGACAGGGATCCACTGCAGGGATCTGAGCAGGATGATCTCTGCAGTGCAAGTGTTGAGGGTTTAGAAGACGAGGGAGCAGATAGGGCATAAAGGATGATTTAGAATCGTGGATTCACTAGGAGGAACGTTTCTCTCTCTTCCCCTGCAGACACAACTCTAACACGGGGCGCTGGCTGACCCGCTTCAGGGCCATCTGGGACCCCAAGCAGGAGCACTGCTTCCTGGTGGGCAGCATGGCACAGCCCAGGCAGATCAACGTCTTCCAGGACACAGGGAAGTTGCTGCACTCCTTCTACAACCTGGACTGCCTCAGCTCCGTGTGCTCCATCAACGTCGTGCACCCCAGTCGGAACATCCTGGTGGGGGGTAACTCCAGTGGCCGCCTTCACGTGTTCAAAGAATAGAAGTGGTGCCTCAGATGCAGAGTTTTCCCTTTTTGCATTAACTTTGTCTATTCTGTATTAAGCAGTTCCGAAGCTGACTTATTTCTCAGGACAGAATTGTGTTTTAAAAGCCTTAAATAAATAAATAAATAAATAAATCCTTTAAACTACCTTTGGGCATTCGCATCTTCAATGGAAATAAATCCTACTGGGACATTTGTACCAAAACAGATTTTTTCCCCAATGACGAAGTGATTTAAAAAGAAAAAACATGGGATCAGCACTTGCAGCGTGGATGAGGAACTTCTCAACCATTTCCATGAGGGAAGCTGGAGTGCAGCTGTGCTCTGTCCATCAGTTCTGAATCTCAGGGCATGTTCCATGTCTTTCTTGTCACAAGGGGCCCAAAATTCCAGGTGCATTTGTAAAAATTGTGTTCAAACAGTGCAGGGATGTGTGAGGGACTCACCTGCAGCAACATTAGCTCCCTGTGGCCTGAGCCTGCTCTTCACTGCTAAAAGACCAAATTCATCACAGTTGGATGAACTGAGTTTTCACTCAAAGGAAGAAAAAAATCAGTACCAGCACCAGAAATACTGAACAAAGCTCATCCCAACTCTGCTTTTCATGATATTTAAATATTTATTTAAATTCAAAAATACTTTTCATGGCACCAATGATTTTATGCTAACTAAGGTATTGGATATGTAGAAAAAGGTACATTTCAAAGGAAGAAAGGATGTAACTTACAGTATTTGGCACATGAAAGGTTAATCTCTAGATTTTCTTTATGAAAACTAAGAAATTCACATTTTCAGGTATTTTACTGTCTACTGCTGAAAGATGCAGTATGCTAGGACGAGATTGATGGGTTTCTGATCTCAGAACCTATGGAAACATTCTGATAGAAAACCAGGTAAAACTAACAGGGCCTGAAACACGGGACGGAACCTGGGACGGACGGGAAAACGTACAACGCAAAATCACCAGTTCTCATGTTCTTGTAGGAAAACGCTGGGTGACAACGGCAGAGGTGACCTGGGGCTGGCACGGAGTGTTATCCGAGGAAAACCGGGTGGGAGGTCCCAGGAGGGGACTTGGAGGATGTGTCCGAAGAGGATGGAGCGTGGGATGGAGCTGTCACACGTCACACAGAACATCGCAGTGAGGAGGAGGAGGAGGAGGAAGGACGACACTAGAGCGTTAACCCGGGGTGAAAAACATCAGCATTGGGACGAGCACAACTGCATAGAAACACCAGCGCTACGGGCTGAGGTAGGAACACTACACTAAGAGTTAATTTTGCTATGTTGCATAAAACAGGATTATCATGTAAAAAAAAAAAATCACTCCTCCGCCTCCTGGAGCCTTCCCGGAGGGCTCCTGGAGCCTTCCCAGAGGGTTCCTGCCTGCTCCAGAGCCAGGGCTGGGCCCCAGGCCCTCCTCGGGTCTCGTGCTGTGAGCAGGTGGCCGTGGCAGTGACCTGGGTGGGAGGGTCTGTGCCCCCCGACAGACGTCGATAAACGGGACCTCTCCCCTTATTGCAGTGCCCATGATCCCAGTCTGGCCCAGCGTCACTGTCCCGCTCAGCGGTGGGTGGTGGATGCTCACAGACAACACGGACATCAGGCTTTGTAAAACTGCAGTTATGGCCCCAGTTTACAGAAAATCTCTCCCTGAGATGAAATTAAACTTGTTCAGCTGCTTTCACCTTTTATTTTTTTGCTAATACGTCCAGCTTCTCACCCAAACCTTACCAGAACTGGCTGTTATTGCTCCCTATGGATGGGCTGCTGCTCCCGGTGATCACCGGTCCTGGGGGGTGTCACCAGCACGATGAGTCAGGTTTATTGACTTTTGCTTAAGAACAGCTGGGGCTAATGGTGTCCGTTGGCTTCTTCAGTGTCACCTGTGCTCCTGAACTTCTGTCCTCTTCAGAAGAGTCCCAGACCCAGAGCTCCTTCTCTGTCCCAAACCCAGCAGGGCTTGCCTGGCATTGGGCTCCTGCCCTATGGAAGCGTTTGCTCCTCAACCATTTGCTCACTGGGAACTGCTCGGTACCGGCACCCACGGTCACCCCATCCATGAAGTAAAAAAAGACTGGATTAGATTCCATAACAAAATAGCATTTCCTTGTTAAAATAGACCTTGAAATGTTTTTTGTTTTTTGGGTTTTTTTTGTTCTTTTTGCTTGGTTTTTTTACAAAACAGGTACAACTGGCGGAGGGTAAAGGTCTTCCCAGTAAATCTGACGCAGTCACTCCAGCTCTGTGCCAGGCTTGGCCGTGTGTGCCCGGCATTCCCTGGCTGCCTGTGCTCCCCTGCCCTCAGGAGCACCGATGCTTCAAGGCTTAAAAAGGTGGCGAAGGGCTGAGTCCGCAGCAGGGCGAGGGCTCCGATCGCTGCGCCGTGGGGAGGGGGCACCGGGGCGTCCCCGAGAACATCGCGCTGTGCGTCACCTCGGAGGAGGCTCCGGCGAGCAGGGAGGGCTCTGCCAAGCGGTTCGTGGAGGGCGGTGGTGGTGGGCACAGTGCAGATTTGATACCGTAACAGTACACGAGTGTTAAATTAAACCTCAGTAGCACCATTGCTAAAGGTCCTGCGGAATGGCACCGCCAGCCCCGGTGCTGCGTGGGGGTGGCAGAGCAATGAATTCCTCTCTGCTCGGTGCTTCCCAAGTCATGCGCGTGAGATCGGGGCAGGAAGTGTTGTGCGGGCTCCGGGGGGTGGGAGCGGGCGGCCAGGCACAGGGAGGAGGCTCCGGGGGCTGCGCCCACCCTCATCTTCCTCCCGGAAAGCCGCCTCCCGGGCCGCGCCGGGCTCTGGGTCGGGAAGGGAGGGTTAGTGTGTGCCCGGCGGGTCCCACGCGGGGACGGCGGCAGGTCTCTCCCCAGGCCCCCGTGGTGCCTCCTGCCTTCAGGTGTCAATGAGCAGGCTTACCACGGCGCGGAGCTTGCAGGCAAACCATCGCCTGAGGGGACAAAAGTATTGGTAATGGAACTGCTCGAACTCGGGGGTCTGGCGGATATCACGGAAAAAGGCAGTGTCAAGGTCGGACTCAGTAAGGACGATCAGGAGGAGGAGCAAAACAAAGAGGAGTCCAACTGTCACAAGGAGCAAACGGAGGACACTTAAAACAAACTTATTCACCTGTTGGGCCTGTGCCGGCCCCAGGCCGCCGGCGCCCGGGCACAGCGCCCGCAGCTCGCCCACCTCCGCCTCTGCCGCCGGCGTGCCCGCCTCCGACTCCTTCTCCTCCTCGATGCTGCACGGGGCCCCGTTGGCCTGGCGCGAGAGCAGCATCAGCTCCAGGCTGTGCTCGGCCACGGGCGTGGGCAGCACGCTGTCGGCCGGGCTGTAGCTCTCGTCGGCGATCACGGCCACCCGCTCGCTGCTCTCGGCGCGGCCGCCCCGCCCGGGGCCCGCGAAGGCATCGCCGTGGGAAGCCGAGCGCACCGGGGTCGAGTGGGCGCTGTCACGCAGGGACTCCAGGCCTGGGGGGACAGGGGGAGGGGGAAGAGGGGATGCTCAGTGTGTTGGAGCAGGGGGGGGCCCTCCCCAGTGCCAGGAGCCCCCCACACTGCCCCCAGCCCGGTGTCCCTGGGACGCTGGTGGTGGTGGTTGTCTCTGTTGGTCCCTCAGGACCCGCAGCCCCTTTGCTGCAGCCATGAGCTGTGGCGCTGACACTCCGACACCCACGTGGCTCGTCACCGTCAGCGACAGCGCTGGCTGCCAGCCTGGAACGCAGGCAGGGCCCGGGCTTGTCGGCAGCTCATCACAAATCACCCATGGGCTGTAGCTGTCCTGAGGTGACGGTGACAGCCCCCCTGGCAGCTGCTGCAGCACCTCTGAGGCCCCTCTGCCACTGGCACTGCCAGCCCCTGGCACCATGGGCAGCTGCTGACAGTACCCAGACATGGGCAGGAATGAGCTGGGGGAGCACGGTCAGCAGAGCAGGGGGTGCAGGGAGGGGTGGGGGGCAGAAACACCCCTGGGAGGCCATGCTGGGGCAGCGGGTGGGTCACTGCCAACCCTGAGCTGGGCTGGGCTCTCCCTGCGGCAGCACTGGGTGCAGCCAAGCCTTCTGCAGCCCGTGGGGCCAAACTTCAAGATTTATCCTTGCAGATCTATCCCCTGGTTGGCACAGCCCTACCCCACCAAACCCCTGCACCCCAGAGAGGCACAGAGGGGTCACACTGAGCCAGAGTCTGCGTGGGCAGCACAGCTGAGCAGTTGTGGGAGCCCTGGAACAGACCCTGCCCTCTTCAGAGTGGGAACTTAGAGACCCCAGTGTGGGAGGTGTGTGAAGAGAGAGCTGTGCTGGTCTGGCACAGGGGGATGTCCCCCATCACATGCCAGAGACCCCCACAGCACAGGTTGCTCTGAGTTTTAATGATGCACCACAAACCAAATGTTCTACATCCACACACAGGAGCAGGAGCCATGGGAAGAGCTGTGTGCCAGCTCCTTGTGACAGCCCAGAGCCCTGTACTGGGCTGAGTTACAGCCTACAGTTCCTTCGAGGAACTCCTGCCCCCACAAACCTCCCCTCCAAATTCCCAGAACCCCCACACCTGTGGGACTTGTTCCTGGGAGTTCTGGCAGGCAGGGTAGGAGCTCTGCCATCGCAGCATCCCCAGCACCAGGGAGGGTGGCTGAAGATCGTGGTCGGGACCAGTGGGTCCCCAGGGCCACCCTGCTGGAGAGGGCCGGGGCTGGACCTGTCCCCGCAGGGAGGACACTGCACCAAAGCACCTTGGCGTGTTGTCACCGCCTGTCCTGGCCCTGCGGAGGGTGAAGCACCCGAAGCCACCCGGCCGCATTCCCGGGGCTTTGCAGCCTCTCATCTGTAAACACTGCCCGGCTGCCCCGGCTCAGCCCGGCTTAGCGCCCGTGCCCCCCGGGCACCGGGGCAGCCTGGGCGGAGAGGAGCGAACACGTTCTCACCACGACAGTTATGTGCTCTCCCATCTCATGTGAACATCCCCCCTGGCACCTGCTGCATCCCTGGCAAGGGGGACACCCACCGAGGGGTTCCCCTGCTCATCACCACACCGAGAGCAGAGCTGACCCCCCAGACACAAACCCTCCTGCCATCTGCTCCCATGGCACTGCCATCAGAAGCTAGAAAATCCCAGGAAATGCGGGTCCAGCCCCACCACCATTGCTGCTTTGTGGTAACAACAACCCAGGGTCCCTCCAGCACCAGAAACCCCAGCCCACTCCCCACCACACATATCCCACATCCAACATTCCTGCATCCCGCCTGCCCCTGGGGCTGGGGACACTCCAGAAGAGCCCAGAGCTGGCAGCGCAGCATTACCTGGCACAGGGGCGTCCCCAGGGCCGTGCGGAGCGTCGGGGCCAAGGCTGGGGACGGCCGGCAGGAGCGGCAGGATCCCCAGGGCCCGGGACAGCAGGCGCGGCCCCAGGGCCAGCACCCGGACCCGCACCTCCCGGCAGCAGTGGTTGATGAGCCACAGGTGGACGCTGACCCTGGTTTTAATCTTTACCAGGCACTTCACCATGACGGCACGGGGACAGGAGGAGCGCGGGGACGGCCACCAGCACGGCTGCTCCAGTGGCACTGGTGCTGCTGGCCCTGGGGTCAGGGCTATTTTGGGCACCGAGGAGAAGTGAGAGTGAGGAAAAGCAAAGGGGTGGTACCAGCTCAGGGTGATTTATGGTGGGAGATGATTTCATGCTCTGGCTGCTTCACAACTGCATGTGGGGGAGAGGGTGTCACATGCAACTGGGTGGCAGAGGTGACCCTGCGTGCTTCCGCCCCCAAAACCGGCACAGGCGCCAGCCCTGGGATTCCTCAGTGGAATTAAATCCTGTCCCTTGGGACAGGCAGTCCCTGTCCCCATGCACTGCCCGGGAGCAGGATTGGTGTGTGTGCCAGGACAGGGACTGGCTCCACAGCCCATCCAGTAGCAGGGCACAGCTTGGGGGCATCCACCCCTTTCTCCCCGGCTCCTGGGCCATCCCAGATCCCTCATCAGTATCTCCATTTTCCAAATCTTTTTTTATCTTCACAAACTTCTGTGCACCTTCCCTCAGCCACAATACAACCCCCAACACCCAGCACACACCAGGAGACAGACATTGCTGTCACCAGTGGCACTGTCACAGTCCCCAGTGGTGTCCCCAGCCCCGTGGGGCAGCTCCAGAGCTGCTCCCAGTGTTGGACCTCTGCCAGCTCTTCTTCCCAGTGCATCCCACCCCGATTCAGTCCCGGGACGGGGAGAAGCCTCCCTGTCCCAGCCTGGTGACACACCGGCCTCTCTGAGGACAGGGCACCGGGGCTGCAGACTCAGCTGGACACGTGTGTTGACGTGTGTACAGGGGGTCACGTGTGTGCACACAGCTCTGCGTGTCCCCATTCCCAAGCCCCGGTGGTGGCAGGGACCCCCCTGTCCTACCTTCCATGATGGAGATGTGGACGGCTCTCCGGCGGGTGCGGGGCACGCTGCTCAGCCGCGGGCCGTGCGTGATGGATGGGCAGCTCCGGCTCGGCACCAGCCCAGCCCTGGGGACGACAGCGGGCACGGGGTCAGAGGCAGGGCGGTGCCAGCGCCCCGGGCACGTGGCAGTGCTCCTGGTGGGACCCCACCCTGCAGACCGATCCCTGGGGGCTGCTGCCGGGCTCTTACCGGTGAATCTCGGGGGCTCCCTCTTGATCTTGGCGCTGGACTCCATCACCTCCTTGGCGACACGGCCGCTGCAGGAGGGTCAAGAGCAGTAGAGGTGAGAAGAGCACGGTACCGGTGAGCCACCACATCCCCCCATGGCACCACCTGGGCCCTCCCCACACACACAACTCCCTGCAGGGTCTCCCCACAGCTCCAGGGGAAAGCAGAAATATCTGCTGGGAATAGGGGCAATGGAGGAGCCTGGAAAAGCTGAGCTGACACCTCTACCACCATGTTTTGTTGCTTGGCCTGGCATCGGATGCTGGACACCATGGGACCACTTCCCCTCAGCTGGGGGACACACCACAGGCATCCAGGTCCTCCCATGCTGGTGAGGAGGGCTCTGGCATCGTGCACCTCACAACTGGGGTCTCTTGTGCCACTGAGATACGAGGTCCCAGGTCCAGGCTCTCACTCCAGCAACTGCCCCCAGGAATTTAGGGACCATAGCGATTTGTTTCACTCCTTGTTGTTCTCAAACCCCAAATCCACTCTCCTCTCCCCTCCTTCACTCCTGTCCCTCCAAAACTGCAACTCTGAGGGTAGGGAGGGGGATGGCAGCTGTGACACAGAGACAGCAGTGCTGGTGGCCTGGCTGGGGTCAGCACTGCAATGGGGGGATCTCTGCAGGACCCTGAGATGGCCCTTGCCTGCTGCAGCCCCAAACTGCTCCCCGGTGCCCTGCAGGAACTGCCCCTGCCGTGGTATTTACCTGTACCGGAAGCGGCTCCCCTTGAAGAACAGGTTGCTGCTGGACACCGTCCGCACCTGGCTCGACTTCTCCAACCTGCAACAGCACCGGGAGCGTGTGAGCACCCCACACTGCCTGCCAGGAGCTGGGAATGGCCCTGGCACCGCGTCCTGGCAAAGCCCTGCCCAGTTCTGTTCCCAACACATCCCATGGGTGACCAGGACAAGGGACTCTGCTGGGACAGCATCACCCCCCAGACTGACCCTGCACCCAGCCGAGGTGGGAGCTGTGCACTGCCAGCCAATGGCAGCGAGGCCAAGTGACAGGAGCAGAGCCCTGGAGATGTGGAATGCCCAGGAATGAACCAGCTGCAGGTAGCAGTGGGTGGCACTGGCTGAAGGGACACAGCACTCCATCAGCACAGCTTGTCCTTGCTGGCAGCAGGAACATGGCCGGGATGGACCCACTGCCAAGGAGTCTCCAGCAGCTGGAGCAGCTGGACCCAGCTACCACTGGGTCCCACAGGGCCATCAGTGACATCCACACACAGCTGCTGAAGCTCTCCAGGGGGCTGAAACCCCACCACGGCCTGGGCATTGCAGGGTGACAGACACGGCCTGTCCTAGGCAGGTGGGCACTTGCTGGGGTGGGTGAAGCCACCACGAGGGACCATCCCATCTCCTTCCCATCCCATGGGACCTGATCCCTCACCCCAGGAGTGCCCAGCAGCACCTGAGCTGAGCCCACAGTCCACTCTGCTGGGTGCACAACCCAGTGGTAATTCACTGACACGATTAATCACAGGGAGATTTGTAAAGCAATATTGCAATTTCATTTCATGTTCATGTAATGAGGAGCGAAACCTGCTGATTGCAGCTGCTGATTGCAGAATTCCCGGTGGGAATGCATTGCACGCTCTGTCTCGCAGCTTGCTGATTAAAATAAAACTCATTACAAAGCGCAAAGTGGGCTGGGTTAAGTATGGCATGAGCAGGATGGTGAATCCACTGGCACCTCCTCAGTACTGTGGCTCTGCCAGGGCCACTGGGACAAGGTGCCCCATGGCAGTGACCAATGCCAGAGCCTGGATGGAGCCCAGAGGTGGCACCGGCCCAGGGGGGCTGCAGGACACCCCACAAACCACCACTTACTTGTAGAAAGCCTGGTTCTCAATCCCACACTTCCAGAGGTGTTTGCAGGCTTCTGGTGTCGGGGCAAAGTAGGTGAGGACAATTTTCTTCTCCTAGAGGAGAAAGACAGGGAGTTGAGCGGGGAACAGGGAGTGGTGCCCGTTGGACAGACGGAGACTGGAGCAGACAGGGCTGGAGAGTGGCACTGGCATGGACAGATCTTGCTTTGGAGCCATTTGGGACACAGCAGTGTTGGAGCATAGGCTGACAGCCCGGTGTGGTGCTGGGCATGAGGGATGGGCAGATGTGTACCAGTGTTCTGCCACCCACCCCTCTGCTCTCAGCCTTTGGGAACAGCCAGAAATACAACTTTTGTAAAAAAACTCCTGCTGGTGGCTCCTGTGGGAGCCAACTCCATCCAGAGGTGTTCCAGCTGACTTTGTGGGATACAGCAATGAGTAACCACCATCATCCCAAAGGCAGCACCAGCGGGAAGGCATGGCCAGCAACAGTGGGCAGAGCCTCTGCCCCAGCACAGCCCGAGGGGCTGAGGGATCTGATGCCCAGAGCAGGGCACCAGTGGGAGCAGGGAGGTGACCCCAGCACTGTCATGGAGCTGCAGTCGCTGTCACCATCCCTGTTCCCTTGCCCTGCCAGGCCAGGGTGATGCTGCTGCCAAGTTCCTGAAGAACCCCCTGAAGACATGACCACCCAGTGCCCAGGAAGTCCCCTGGGAAGGGGGAACACTCACCTCCTTCTGACTTACATACAAGTAGAAAGTCTTCCCTTCGAATTTCATCTTGGTCACCTCGTTCCTGGAACGACAAGGACAGGCAGGTGGGAGCTGTGCAGAGCCCACCACAGCCTGAAACCCACCCAGCCTGGCTCCTGGCACCACTCCCATGAGAGCCGGTGTTTGGGATGGCAGCAGGGCAGCTTCCAGACCCTGTTTTCCATCCTGGAAGATGTGATGGGGTGGTGAGACCAGCCCTGGCTCGGAAACCTGGAGCTGGAATGTGGGACACCCCAGAGTGAAGCTGAGGGTCAGCAGGGAGCTCGTCCCATGGGCAGTGCCTGGTGGCAGTGCCAGGTGCCAGGGATACATTGGCCAAAACTGGAGATGCTACAGTGACCTGGGAACATCCCAGCCAGGCTCAGAGGGGTTGGGGGCACTTGGGACTTGGCCAACATGGGGACGGTGAAGTTTAAGAGAGACAAATGTAGAAAATAACAAGTCAGGGGCAGCAAAGCTCTGGGTGCACCGAGCACTGCCCTGTCCGGGCACGTCCCATCAACCCTGGCACGGTGGGGGGGTCACCCACACACCCAAACATCCCTCACAGGCTCTGGGGTGATACAGGACACCCATGGAGTGGCTGGAGTCCTGGGTGGGAACTCACCACTTGATGAAGTGAACTCTCTTGTTTCCCTGCAGAACCACGAACCCGAAGGGCGTGAAGGCCAGAAATGCCGCGTTCCCCGACACGTCCTGCAAGGCAACGTGACTGCTGGGAGGTGCTGCTGGGAGGTGCTGCTGGGAGGTGCTGCTGGGCAGGGACTGCTGGGAGGTGCTGCTGGGCACCAAAGCTTGGGCACCAAAGCTTGGGCAGCACCAGCCACCCCCAGCCAGCAGCTGGGGCACTGCAGCAGCCCCTGTGCCAGCTCTGCCAGCACCACGGTGTAGTTACATATTATCATTTATATATCACACTGACACAGAGAATATATGCTGTTAGCATAATAGCATGTTATCATTGTTGCAATTAACACTTATTTTATAAGAGATATTGTAACTGTACTATTATATGTAGCGATATATTGTTATATAGGTATACAGTAATTTAATATATATAATAAGTACTACAATATACGTAGTTTAATATAGTTATATATTATATTGTCATAGAATATCCTGAGTTGGAAGGGACTCACAAGGATCACTGAAGCCCAGGTCCTAAACACTGTTATTATATTACTAATATACACAGTAATTAACCCAGGACATGATAACCGCTGGTTTCACTTCTCTCCCTCAGAGCCCTGCCCAGCCAATGCCCTGGGCAGCATCAAGCCAGTTCAAAGCCATCAGTTCTGTCAGGTTGGAGCAAGCAGCACTTCAACCCAATCCCAAGGGCAGCTCCAGGGAAGCAATCGGTGACTGCACTGGGTGCAGGGAAAACCAGACACACCCAATTGTGAAAATGTTGTGAAATTGTTGTGGCTGATCAGCAATTGCTGGATTCATCCTGGTTTTGGTTTTGGCCAGCAGGCATCCAGAGGGCTTTTGAAGGATGCTCAGAACAAAAATCCATCCTCAGCCTGTCAAGGTTGGAAGGCAGAGAGAGCTGATTCCCAACCCAACACCTGCACACGGCAGGGTGTGAACCCCAAATTCATCCCCTGGAGACACTGCAGCCCTGGCTGTCAGAGGGAGGGCAGAAACCTGCCACAGTTCAAGCCCTGGGCTGCCCAAAGTGCTCTGGCTCTTCCCCAGATCTGGGAAAGCCTTCAGGAAAGGAAGCAGGGGCTCAGCAGAGTGATGGACCCTCCTGGAGGTGCAGAGGCTTAGTAGGGGCTGGGAGTGCTAAAGAGGACATTGGACCCTGCACAGGTTCAAAAAACACGTGGATGTGGCACTTGGGACATGGGTTAGTGGGGGGTTGGCAGTGCTGCAGGAGCAGTTGGGCTCAGTGGTCTTAAAGGGCTTTTCCAAAACAAACAATTCCATGATTCTCTTTGCTTAGGCCAGAAGTTCTGTCCCTCATTTGACAGAGAGAAATAGAGGGAACCCCTGCTATTCACACACATTCATGCAGGGATTCATGTCTAGAACAGTTCCCAGGGACGGTGCCAGCAGCTCCAGGGAGCCCTGCTTAAGAAGGGAATACTTTTTTCTGTGTTTGTATTTTTTGGGAAAACTACTACATGAAAACTTCAGGCAAACAGGACCAAGTCAAGGGGCACTGAACTGAGAATGCCTGGTGAGAGGAAACAGCCCCTCATCCCAACTTTTCCACAATCCACTGGTGAAGAGGGAACAGAATCGGCTCCGTTTCTCTTTGGATCCTTTAAGCACATTAACAGCAGCTCTTGATGAATTAGGCTGAATTCTGCTAATAGACCTAGAAGTGTGTATATTTGTCCTTAGCTGTTGTAAGAACGTGAATCAGTGTAACTCAAATATATTTAAGAGGTTCTTGGGGTAAAAGAAAGGTAACTACCTGACTTTAGCAGCAAAGGCCAGAAATGGGTGGGTCCTGACAAGAGCACTGCTTTAGAGGGAATTCAGAGCAAAGCAACCCCTGGGGCACTCACAAACAGCCCATAAACGGGGAAACTCCCCTCCAGTTTACTGCAATTGTGTGTTAATGTGGCACAATTCAGGGAAAAGCCCTGGGAGGACCCCAGGGCAGGCACTGCCTGAGGGGAGAATTCTCTGTCTGCTTTGTGTCCCACATCCATCTGCATGTGATGGGATTATCAGGAGTAGAGAGAGCCACAGGCAGTGACATCCACAGTCAATTAAGAGCATTTCCAAAAGCAAACTGGATTATGGGCTGGGCAGAGCAGAGTGATGAACTGTCCCTAGCAGATTAACGCCTGGTGGTTCCTCAGCCACTGTCACTGACCTTGTTACTGCCTCCCAATGACCTCCTTCAGCAGCACGATTGACCCCTCTCTTACAGCTGTCTGCATGTGAAAATGCTTTCCTACAATTTCTCTGGACATCCCTGGGAGGGTTTTGGGGAATCCAACCTGAGCAACAGCTTTAGGAACTGTTTTACCTTGCATGGGTGTGGGTCAACCCCGTAGGTCTCCAGAGTCTGGGCTTTCCTGAGAAAATTCAGCTCTGAAGTAGCTGGTGTCTGCCCACTGCAGGAGGAAAAAACAGGGGAAAGAACAATCCATGGAAGAGAGGAAAGGCAGCTACTGGGATTCTGTTAACAATGAGGCATCAGCTATGGCTCATTCCTGTTAGATTTGTTATGGGATCAACAGGAACACAGCACTGGAGCCCAGCTCATCCTCTCCTGCCAGTTCCTTCCACAGGAGCTTCCACTGAACTGGCAGCACTGGGAAGGGCCAAAAAGGAACATCTGCCAGATTTAGAGATGAATTCCCTACTTGCAGCAGAGACATCTCATCCGAGGGGAGGAAAGGGAAGTTTGGGGGCAGAGGGCAGCAACCCCTGCACGTAAGGACACAGCTTACACACTTTAAGGACTGACAATCCCAAACAGGGATAACAGTGCTCCGAGCATCAGCAAACCCCACAGCTCTGGTACCTCAGCTCCGACTTGTGGATCTCCGCAATTTTCCTCTCCAGCTTCTCTGAGTGCTTGGGGAAGAACTGGAACTTGGAGCTATAACCTTCTGGGTGCTTCCCTGGGTCATAGTCCCCAATCTCAGCTGGTGGGAGACAGATCCAGTCGGGAAGAGCAACACAACCAAAGCACAGTGTGCATCCCCATCCCAGCAGCACCCTGGGAATGCTGCTCCAACCCTACTGTGCTTCCCACTGGGAAGGATCATTTGTCAGGCATTAACTGCATCCACTCAATTCCACTGTTTATGTGGGAATCACCTGGCAGCAGATGGTCCCAAATTTATTAATTCCTCAAGGTGCAGGAGTAGGCAGGAAAACAGGCAGAAGGGCAGGGGCTGGATGAGCCAACAGGATGCTCATGGGGAACACCGTGGCCGGGATGCAGGTGAGACCCAGCCCCCAGCCTTGTCCTCCCCCAGCCCAGCCCAGCCCAGCCCAGCCCTGGGGGGGAATATCAGTGTTCCAGGTGCAGTGACCTGCTATGAGAGCAATAATGGAACCAGTGCACAGTGTGAAAAGCAGACTGGTGTGGCCCAAGGCGTTACCCTGCAGGATGTAGGCAGCCAGCAGCGCCGCGTCCGACGTCTTGCACAGGAGCCGCCCGTGGTACAGATCCCTTTTGATCTGCAGGAAGACTAAGTACCTGGGGACAGGAGGGAGAGTCCATTTACTAAGCAAAGCTTAAATTACCCAAACAGGTAATTTAAATGTGGAGTATCTGCCACCAGACACTTGTTCTGACATCTCTCTCCCAGCAGTTCATTTACCGGACTTGACACTTGCTGGGAGCGAACAAGGGCTGATTCTGGCCAGGACTGGGGCTCAAATCCACACATCCCAGTCCTGTTCCAGCCCACAGGGACATGATGCCTACTCTGGGGCCAGCACTCAACCCAAGGGCGTCTCCATCAGCCTGGATACCCACCACCTTTCCTCATGGTACCAGAACACAACTACAGCCCCCCCAGCCCATCCGAGGTGCCTGAGGATGATGCTCTGAAGGTGATCTCATGGTCCAGAGCTCACCAGCAACTGCTGAACTTCCCAGTCCTGCATCCTCCCCTGGCTGCTCAGCTTCCCCATAACATGGTTTTTCTCCTTCCCAAACTTTCTGTGTCCTTCCAGGTCCCAGCACACACCCCCATCCCTCCTCTGTCCTGCCAGAGGCTGGCACTGTAACACCCAGGGGGCATTACCTCCTGTGCTCACCCATCCCTATCTCCATGCCCAGTGAAAAGACAAACTATGTTGGAAAATTACATATTTAAATAAATTTAAACCTAAGTAACAGTTTGGGCTGAGTCATGTGGTGTTTGGGAAAACCTTTAGATGATAAAATGTGAGTCACAGACGGAAGGAGCACAATGGAGTGCTCAGAAATGCATTCAAATAACCAGACTCACACTCTGCAGTCTCTCAGTCATGCCTCATTGCTCAAATCCATGTTTATGATGAGATAAACCACTAATTTGCACAGATAAAATATATTAAAGAGAAATCAAGATATCGAAGTGGACTCTGTCCCGGGGAAAGTGAATTTTGAGGCCAGGTTCCAGCTGCAGCTGCAGGCACACCCCAAATGGTAGCAAGGAGGGACAGCTCACCTGCATGGGACTCAACCTGGACTCGTGGAGGTGACAGAGGGCAGAGTTAGATGAGGTGTTGGGAGGAAATTCTTCCCTGTGTTCCACCCCCTGCCATGGGCAGGGACACCTTCCACTAGCCCAGCTTGCTCCAAGCCCTGTCCAACACGTCCAGGGACGGGGCAGCCACAGTTTCTCTGGGCAACCTGTGCCAGGGCCTGCCCACCCTCCCAGGGAAGGATTTCCTCTTGTCTAACCCTTTATTCTTATCAGTGTGCTGCCATTCCCCCTCGTCCTGCCACTCCGGGCCCTTGTCCCCAGTCCCTCTCCAGCTCTCTTGGAGCCCTTTTAGGTGCTCCAAGGGGCTCTCAGGTCTCCCTTTACGGAAGGTGCCAGCTCAGAACCCTTCAGCAGAGGCTCCAGCCCGGCTGCCCCAGGCAGAGTTGACCCTCCCCACCCCATCAGTCAAGGAGCTGGGATTGATGTGCTCCAGAGCTCCACAGATCCACAGCCAGGGCTTGTTTTCCAGAGCTGCTGAGACTGCTCCATGAGCTCTCCTCATGTTCTTCCTCCTGGCAGGAAGAGCGGCCTGAAGAGCCTCTAAAGATAGAACTCGGGAGAAGCACTGGCAGGTTCTGCATCGCCGTTCATCGCCCAGCGCTCCCAGAGCGTCCGAGCTCCTGACGTCAGAGGATGTGGCTGATTGTTCCCAGGGAATGTCAGGGGAGCTGCAGGCGCTCAAACCCTTCCCCACAGACCCAGCACAGTAAGGACACCCTGAGCTGAGCGCGGGCTCGGGCAGTGGCTGTTCTGAAGTGGCAGCAATGGGTGTTACAGGGACAGCGCCACGTTTGGAGCACTCTGCCCTGGAATTGGGTTTGGAACCGACTGCAGCCAAAGACCAAGCCAGGGGGTTAATCACAGAACCCTGGAATGGTTTGGGCTGGAAGGGACCTTACAGACCACGTCATTCCACCCCCCCGCCACTGGGAGGGACACCTTCCACTAGACCAGGTTGTTCTAAGCCCCATCCAACCTGGCCTGGAACAATTCCAGGGATGGGGCAGCCAGAGCTTCTCTGGGCAACCTGTGCCAGGGCCTCAGCACCCTCAGCCTGTGCTTCCCACCAGGTATGGTGGCTCCGTGTGCTGACTCAGCACAGATGGGGATTTCCAAGCTTTTCCCCCACAGCTGGGACAATCCTGAAGTGTCCAGGTTGGTTTGGAAATCCCAACAGCTGTTGCTCTCCCCTGACTACAAAACAAAGCTCAGCCTTGTGCTCCTGCCTCGGCCCCGCCGGTCCCACCGCGCAGGCTCCGTCCCTACCTGGTGATCTCCTCCTTCAGCGCCGCGGGGTCCGTGGGGTAGAACTTGACACGGAAGCACATGGTGAAGGGAGGCTGGGCTGCAGGACAACAGGGGCACTGTGTCACCAAGGGGCAGGGCTTTCCCCTTCATCCTGAACCACCCTGCTCCAGCACACGGTCAGACACTGCTGGGGGTCTCACCTGCCTGCCCCATTCCCCCCAGACACCCCTGCTGCCCTCGGTGAGGAGGGAGCAGACAGGCAGGGAGGCATTCCTCGCTGCAGTGGCCATGAAATGCAGATGTCCCTGATAAAGCTGCGGGGAAGCACTAGCAGCACTATCTGCTGGCCACCCAAACCACTCCCAAATCTCATTCCCTCATCCCCACCTCTGCTGTCCTGCTCTCCATGGACACTGGTGCCCCGTCCTGGGGGGTCACGGGCAGCTGTGGCTGCAGTGGGGCTGCTGGTGCGTGACCCTGCTCTCAACCCACCAGAACAACTTTCAGGTGATGGGAGCCTTTTTCTGGGACATGGGCTGCGAATTGACCCCAGAAGGGACAGGCTGGAGAAAATGGGAATACCTCTAAGATGGAAGGAGCACACACTGTCTGTCTGGGACACCTACAACACTCACCCCGCATCTGCTTCACAACTGACTTGGTAAACTCCAGCCAATGCTGAAAGGAAAAAGAAGGTTATTAAAGCCTGATGGCTGTGACTTCACAAGGTGGGAAGGATAAGGAACAGGAGGGTACTGCTCCAGGTGATAAAAGCCACCTGAGTGTCAGTGAGTGTCCCTGGAAGGGAAAAGGAGAGAGTGGGGGTTCAGACTGGCCCTGTGTCACAGTGGAAGAGGGAGAAGCTCCGTGCCCAGCTCCGGCTCAGCATTGGCTGCTCCCTGTTACAGCTGTGGCAGAAGGTGCCTTGGGAGCAGGAATTAATTGTTATATTGATCAGTGGGAAGCACAACACAAGGCTGTTACCAATGGCTGTGTCTGCGAGTGTGTTTGAACTGACTCTCATTCACAGCGAGCGGTGGAACAGCTCATTCTGCACATTTTAACTGAGCAAGGGACAGGACTCCCTCACACAGCTTTGGTGTGGGAATCCAGCTCACTGGGCCCGTGGGTCTGTGTCCCCCTCTGCCAGACCTGCTGCAGCTTCCCGGGGCTCAGCAGGACACGGATCCGTGCCGGGAGCCGGGTCAGACCAGGTCCTGCCTCACTCTCAGCTCCTGCACTCCCACGTCTCGTCTCACTCTCCATTGCCCGAGGCAACACTCAAGTGTTTGGATCCTCAGCACAGAGCTGTCAAATGGCCTAATCTCGGTGTTAAAATGTGAATCAGTGCTAGAAATGGTCCTGCAGATCCGGTACCGGGGATCTCCCTCTCCCTTTGCAACAGCATCACATCCTCTCACTCTGCAAACTCACGATGCTTCCAGCCCTCACACGAGTCCCTCCGGCTCACACATCCCAACCACTGCCGGGGACTCAGGGAGCCAGGACACTGGGGCTGCTGCCAGAGCCTGGGTGCATCCCAGACCCCTCCCCTGTAGGGCACCCCAGGGTGCTCAGAGGGCTGTCCCATGGGCAAAGGAATGACCCTGTCGGGGCACCACAGACCCCTGTCCCGGCAGCAGGGCAGGGCAGAGCTGCGGGGGAAGAGCCCCTCATCACCGCCTAACCTGAGTTTATTTTCTGGCCTTTGCTTCCCGCCGGTTGTCAGCGGCGAGGACGAGCCTGACACCCCTCCCCCGGTGCGGGCAGGAGGGGCTCTCTCTCACCCTTTGCTTGTCGGGGTCCACAAACCGGATGCCGAAGTAATCCTTCTCCAGCAGGTTCAGGTGGTGGCAGAGAAGGTCGAACAGGTACTGGCCCTTGGCATCTCTCTGCAGGACAAAGAGACTCAGTGACTGAGCACAGGAGGGGTGGTGGGGTGTAGAGAGTTGGGGGAGCAGGGTCCAAAAATTGTGAAGTGACGCCAAGGACGGTGCAAACACCTCCCCCCCTCCCATGCCTGTGTGACATTTTCAACTCAAGAAGCCATCTCCCATCCCACCCGAGGGGCAGCAGCCACGAGCAGGACCCCACAGCAGCACCAGATCGAGCATTAATGGGGAATTTAAAAGTATCATAGATAGAAAATCTGCTACATCTCAGATCTTTTTAACATTTCATTTCCAACGCTGCAGACTGAAGCACACACTTAACTGGGGCTCTGGGAGCTGCCCCGCAGCGGTGCTGGCCCTGGACACCGCGGTCCTTCCAGCACTCCGTGAGCCAGTTCGGAAAGGGAGGACATTGGCACGATAAAAAACATTATCCCACCTCGCAGGATCTGCTTCTTATCGGCCTCTTCCTTTATCTGCCTCAAATTCCAGCTTGTCGCTAAACAAGGGTGTTTGTCGCGGTCACCCTCCGGCGATGGGCGCTCAGGGGATGGGATTTTTATGCAGTTCGGAGATTTCGCCAGCACCCGCCCCAGGGCTCTCCTCCTCCCCTTGGCTGGGGGGTGCAGACACGGCCCCAGCAGAGCACCTGCTGCCTTGGCAAATGGCCGATCGTTCGAGCCATTAACCTTTAACATTTCAGTGCCTCACATCCAGAATTCCCACCGCATCCCACCGGCTGCCGCAAGGCGGACAAGCCCCCCGACAGCCGCGGGCCCGGCGGGCGCTGCCGGAGCTGGTGCCTCGCAGTCAGCGCTCTCCTGCTCACACCGCGCGTCTCCGCGGATCAAAGGCTGCTCCTGACACCCACGCTGCCTCCCCGCTTCCCACAAACACACTGAATACATTGTTTCCTGACAAATACAGGGAACACACGCGTTATCTGATCAAATAAGCGCGTTACCTGATCAAACAGCGGCTCGGCAGACACGGGCTGCGATGGGGGAACCCCAGGGGACGGCATTAACCCATTCCTGCCGCTTGGTGCCGTCTGCGAACTCTGCTTGTACGGGTTTCAGGAGCTGCTGACACCGTGCCCTCGGGGCCGGGGCCTGGCAGCACCAGGGGGATGCGGTGCTGACCCCGGCGGTGCTGCCGCCGAAGCAGGGGCTGTCCCGGTCCCGGGGTGCAAACCCTGCCCGAGGAGAGCCCGTCCTGCTTGCCCGGCTCTGCAGCACCGGCCTCGGGCAGCGGCACCGGGAGGGGGAGCACAGAGAAGTGCCACGTCCACATGGCTTTTAAACCTGCCCAGGGACGGGGAACCACCTGGGCAGCTGTGCCAGGGCTGGACAGCCCTTTCCAGGAAGGAATTTTCCCAATATCAAACTTAAAGCTTCCTAGCACAGCTGGAGGCTGTTTCCTCTCCTCCTGTCCCTTGTTCCCTGGGAGCAGAGCCCGACCCCCTCTGGCTCCCCCCTCCCTGCAGAGCCAGAAGGTCCCCCTGAGCCTCCTTTTCTCCATGCTGAGCCCCCCCAGCTCCCTCAGCTGCTCCTGGTGCTGCAGCCCCTTCCCCAGCTCTGTTTCCTTCTCTGGACATGCTACAGGACCTCCATGCCTTTCTTGGAGTGAGCGCTGGGATTTTGGAGCTGCTGCTAAACCCCAGCAGAGCAGCCCCGCTGCTCCCACCGAGCCTGCGGCAGGGCCGGCTGCTGGCCGGGCTCTGCAGGGGATGCACCGAGCTCGGCTGAGCACGCCCTTTCCCCTCCTATTCCCGAGCTTTTCAGCCACTCTCTCAGACTGGATGCAGCTGTTCGGGCAGAGGGGAGGGCGTTGGGAGCGGTGCCGGGAGCTCTGCAGCCGCAGCACGGCTGGGAGCAGCGCTGGGAGCTGTGCGGGCAGCGTTCCTGCCAAACCTTGGGAGAGCTGGGACCGTCAACAAACAGAGCTCCCCGCGGGCAGCGGGTCCTGCCAGCCGGGAACAGCGCTCCAGCAGAGCAGAGCTCACCTCAGGCATCGCCTCTGCCAGCTCTGCCCCCCTGCATCCCTCTCCCCTCCCGGGCAGGCAGCAGAGCCCACCACTTATCCCTGCTGGGATGTCCACGTGCACCGTGGCATTGGAAAAAATGAAAGATTCCCATTCCATACTCCGGAAACCCGTATTTCCGCTGCCTCAGACACATGGGGAGCAGGAGGGCCACCCCCAGCAGCCATGCCCCTGTCCCTTCTGCACGGCTCAGGGAGCAGACACTGGTGTTGGAGCACAGCTGATCAGCTCCAGCCTGAGCCAGAGGTGACTCCCTGGGCCTGCAGAGCCCCCAGGACAGGACCCCAGTGCCCACCCGCCCCACAACCCTCCCTTGGCACAGACATTCCTTCGGGAGGCTGGGAAGGAAGGGCCCCCATTGGCTGTGGCTTCACTGGGAACATGGCTGTGGATGGCCTGGGCTGGATCCCAGGGCTGCAGTGCCCATCTATTCTCCCAAAACACAGAAGAACACCTTCCCAGGGACTGCAGGTCCCTTCAGCCTGTGCCCCTCGCCCACTGCCCTGCTGCCACTCGTGCCTGGGGACAGGGAGCAAACGCCCCTGGCTGAGCCGGAGCCACTGGCTGGGATCGTCAGCCCGTGCTGGTCACTGGCACTGCCAGCTGCTGCTCGGGAAACAAGGCTGCTCCACCGTGAGCCAAGACATGGATTTAGGTGCTGAACTTGGAAAACCATGGCCTAGATCGTGCTTTATTAATAGGCAGATCAAGCTCTGGGAGCACCATCCATCACTGTCACCGGCACTGCCCGGCCCGGGCTGCGCGCCCAGTGCGGGCACAGCGGCACAGACGGGGAGGAGTAACAACACCTGAATTCAAATCCCTTCTCCTGAGCCAGAGCAAGTTCCTTTTTCTTCATTAAATAGGATTCAATTTTTCAATGAGGACTGAAGCAGCAACACGGAGCTTGAGGGGAGACAAAAGGTGGCAGCAGCTTGGGAGCAGTGGGACAAAGCCCGGGCCCTTCTCACCTGTCAGGCATGGGATCACCCTCCCAGCTCAGCTGTTACCTGCTTTGGGAAGGCTGGACCTCTTCCCTCATCATCCAGAAAATAGTAATAAATGCAGGGTTTATTCTCTTCCCACAGAGAAGGTCAGTCTGCAGGCTGAGCTAAAGGAACTTTTGGCACAGACACAGAGGTTAAAACAACTAATAACAGAAAATGCATAAACAAAGACACACTCCTAAATCATTCCCAGATAGACCTGAAGGGCTCTCAGGCCCAGAGCAACTGCTGCAGGAGTGCAGGGCTGATGCCACATACCCCCGAGCATCCCATCCCTCTGCACCTCCCAGAGCAAATTTCACAGGGATTTGCCCCAGGCTCCTCTCCCTTTCCCTGCCCCAAAGCAGCACGGAGCCTGCAGAATGCTCTCCTCTGCAATTTTCACAGAGGAATTGCAAGGAAGGACAAACCAGACACCCCCCAGTGCCTGGAATGTGGTGAAAGTGTGAAACCACGGATGGCATTACGGGGGAATGTTCTCTCTTTGATCTCTCTAACTTGAATTAAACATATTCTAAATTAATCATTAGCAGAATGTCTTTCAGGAAATTATCTGAACTGCCTTTACAAATCACGACTTAAAAGAGCTCTCATTGCATAACACCGGCTTAAATATTCTGCGTTTGGGTCTTTATATGTCCTTATAAAATGAGACTCCTGTCTGCCCGAAGGTTTTTGAGGTCAGCCCTTTGGGGTGCCCGGGCTGATGCACATGCCAGGCTGGCACACCTAGGGTTTGCTGTGGATGCCAACACCTGCCAAGGACTTCCAGTGCCTGAGGGTGCCCAGACACATGTGGGGGGGGCAGTGTCGCTGTCATTAATCAGTGGATTGGGATACAGGGTGTGCCAGTGCAGGTTGGGCTGTGCAGCCAGCACGGCCCTGCTGCTGCTGCTGCTGCTCCAGACAGAGCTGCAGAGGACAGCTCGGATCAGCACACACACTGCTGTTCTGATTCACAATGCCCCTGATTTCCCTGCTCTGCTGAGAGCTGAGCCCAGGCTGCAGAAGCTGCACCGTGGCACAGGCAGCTGAGAATCTGCAGAGCTGCGTTTTTGTCCCTCACCCCATCACCCTGATGCACTGTCAGGCAGCACTGGTGGGGTCTGACCCCTCAGCTCAGATCCCACATCCTCCCTCACACTCCCCCTTGGCCAAGGGTGTCACTGGATCTCATGGCATTCCCCATTTCTGTGGGATCTCTGGAGCCCTAAGCACATCCCAGTGCCCAGTTCACCTCTGCAGACTGGCTGAGCTCATTAGGGCAGGTTGGGATTGGGGAACAGACTGTGGGACCACAATGATTTGGGAAGCATGGCCTCGAGGTACAGCCACCTGCACTCACAGCAGCAGCCACAGCATCCCAGTGCCCACCCTGGCCGAGGGACAAACCCTGCCGAGGGGGCATGCCAGGGGGGCAGTGCTGCTCCCAGGGTCCATCCTCCTGTGCTGCTCCTTGAGGAAGCCCTTTGGAGCCATCCAGCCCTGCAGCACCTTCCTGAGGCACCTGAGGAGCAGTAACCTGTCAGCAGCAGCTTTGTTCTGAGATTTACTGTGCTCTTCCAGGGAGTTTTATGATCCCTTTTTATGAGGCAGACAGGGCAGTGCTGTGTTGATGGCAGGGAGATCCCGCTGGGATTTTTCCAGTGGGAAATGCACCTGTGTGATGCAGGTGATGGGAACCTCCCTGTGCCAAGGATGCAGCGACTCAGCATCCTCTGCCTCTCAACAGAGCTCAGCAAACTCCATTTGGGACCCACCTGGCCCTCAAGCTGCATCCCAGCCACTGCCAGCCCAGCATCCCAGTCCCCTGCCAGTGTGGAGGAGCCCAAAGCTCTCACCAGCCTCTGGGAAGGTCCATAAGATGAACAGTGCAGGATGTAGAAAATCAGCACCACTGACTGCAAGAGTCTTGCCCAACATGCTGCAAAACAGAACCCAGGCTCTGC